GTGGTCTATTTGACTCTTGAACTTGAGGAGGGTTTGTTTTATGAACGTTGCAGCTCCATTGTTTGGTGCATACACATTGATAATTGTTATGTCTTGTTGGTGGATGGTTCCTTTTAACAGTATATAGTGCCCTTCTTTATCTTTCTTGATTAACTTAGGTTTGAAGTTGATTTTATTCGATAAAAATATGGAACACTTCACGAATTTGCGTGTCATCCTTGCGCAGGGGCCATGCTAATATTCTCTGTATCGTTCCAATTTTAGTATATGTGCTGCCGAAGCGGGCACAATACCTTTTATTTTATGTATTTATTTTTATGTGGTGCTGAGGATCAAACCCAGGGCCTCACACATGCTAGACGAGTACTCTACTGCTAAGCCACAATCTCAGCCCCTCTTTGATATTTTTTAATCTGCCTTTAGTACCAGCATACACTGATTCTCATAAAATGAATTTGGAAGTGTTTCCCCCTCTTCCTTTGGTTTCTGAAATAAATTATTAAGTATTGGTATTATTGTTTCTTTAAATAGTTCTTACATTTTATCTGGTTTTGAGTATCTGRTTGTGAGTATTCTTCTGGGAAAATTTTAAGTGAATAATTATTAAATCCTTTACTTATTATAATTCTACTTTTAATTTTTTTAAGAAGCACCCAAGATCCCAAAAAAACAAACACCAAATGTAATGCTAACTCACAATAAGTGGAGGGGGGGCACTACAGCTGAATAGTGTTACCTTAGATTAGGTAGAAGAAAGTGAAGGGAGGGGAAGGGAGGGGAGAGAATGTGGGGATAAGAAAGATGATAGAATGAAACAGACATTATTATTATTATTATTATTATTATTATTATTATTATTACTTTGTGTATATGTGTGACTGCATAACCAATATGATTCTACAACATGTACACTCAGAAAAATGATAAATTATATCAAAGTGCATAAACACATTCTACTATTGTGTATAACCAATTAATGCAAAAAAACTTGAAAAAAAAGAAGTACCCAAGAGATAATTTTGTGTAAAGGCTCATTGCAGGAATTTTCCACATCACATATTAAGGAAGAGGGAAACTATGACCCATGTACATGGATAAAAACTAAAGGCTTTGGGCTGGGGATGTGGCTCAAGCAGTAGCGTGCTCCCCTGGCATGCATGTGGCCCAGGTTCAATCCTCAGCACCACATACAAAGAAAGATGTTGTGTCCGCTGAAAACTAAAAAAATAAATATTAAAATTTTCTCTCTCTCTCTCAAAAAAAAAAAAATTAAAAGCTCAGGGTTAATCATAAGTCATGGGTCTTTTAGGTCCTTCTGGATGTCCTACAGGGTATCTGTACTTTTCTTGAGTTGAGCTTTCTCATTATTCTTCAGCTCTGATTGATAATGCTGGCTAATCCCCCAGGATTGAGAATACATGGAAAACTCAAGATTTCACTCTCAATGCCATACAGCTCCTTTGTCACTGCTGACTTTGGATGAATCCTGGATAGGTTTTTGAATAGGGATTCAATGAGAACTACATTTATTAATCCTGTAGTCCAGTTGATCAATCCTTTTAGCTCGATGAATTCACAGGCACTGCCAACCAACCATCTTATGTACTTACTTCCAGTTTTTACTATAGTTATCCATTGCTACATTCAGATCCTGGAGAGGAACACTTGCCATATTTACTCCACTCCAGCCACACTCGAAGCACACTCGATTTGCCATGTTCTTCCAAAATCCATCCATGGCAGCTGTTGGAATTAATGCCAAATCTTTCAGTCAAAAGATAGTGAAATCTAACAAAATTCAGTTTGCACCCACATTCAATCAAGAGTGTTGGGTAGGGCTGGAGATGTGGCTCAGCGGTAGCACGCTCGCCTGGCATGCGTGCGGCCCGGGTTCGATCCTCAGCACCACATACCAACAAATATGTTGTGTCCGCCGAGAACTAAAAAAAAAAATAAATAAATATTAAAAATTCTCTCTCTCTCTCTCTCTCTCTCTCCTCTCTCACTCTCTCTTAAAAAAAAAAAAAAGAGTGTTGGGTAACAGTTTCCAGGTAACACAGTATGCTTACTGGGTTAGAAACAATTATGATGTAATGTCAGGACTGTATTTGACAATCTGAGGAGTAATGAATTTGAAAATATTAACATTTCTCTGCACAAGATTGGGACAACTCTCCTCTTCTTGCAATACCAGAAATTTAGAATCTGCAGTCATGAAATCATCTTTATCAACCAATTTTTTTTCTTTTCTTTTTTTATGGTGATGGGGATTGAACCCAGGGATGCTTTACCACTGAGCTACCTAGTCCTTTTTATTTTGATAAACAGTCTTGTGAAGTTGCTAAGGCTGGCCTTGAACTTGCAATCCTCCTGCCTCAGCCTCCCCTATCTGCCAAATTTTTATGTCTGAAGAAACATGTTCCCATGCTTATTTTCACCATTTTCCTATTGAGCTTACCTTCCAAAACATCCTCAAGGGCAAATTCAATGGTAGAATTTTCCAGAATGTTGACAGCACACAAAATAGTAGCTTGTCTAATACTCACTAATCTGATCTTACTGTTTTAAATCTTTGCCTCTTCTGCAAAGGGATATGATGAATTTTTCTGTAAAGGCTGCCATTTAAACATTTAATGTAATTGACATGATTGATTCATATTTGTCATTTTGCTGTTTTTTTGCATATTTCTTTTGTTCCTTTGTTCAAACTTTTGTACTTTCCCTACTCTCTGTGTACTGGGGATTGACCCCAGTACCCAGAGGGTAGGCAAGTGCTCTACTACTGAGCTTCATCTCCAGTCTTTACTGCAGTATTACAAGATTTTGATTATACTACCTCTATATTAATCATGAAGTGTACATCCTCCTTTTTTTTTTCAGTGTTGGAGACTGAATCCAGGGTCTCACACACAGTAGGCAAATGCTCCTACTGCCAAGCTACATCCCCAGCCTACTTAGTTATTCAAGATCTCTTAATATTCTACATGATATGTAGGATGGGCTTTTATGTTTCTACAAAGAATAAACAGAAACAGCCATTGCTGTTTTAATAGAGATGGAATAAAGTCTATAGATTGCCTTGGATAGTGAAATTTCATTTCACTTACTTTTGAACAGTGAAGTTTTCCAATTCATGAATAGGATATGTTTCCATTTATTTATGTCTTAAATTTCTTTCAGCAATATTTTGATGTTTTCCTTGTACAAATCTCACTTCTTCAGTGTATTTATTTATTTTTCGTACTGGGGATTGATCCCAGGGGTACTTTACTATCGAGCTACATCCCCACCCCCATCTCCTTTTTTAAATTTTAGGTCAGGGTCTTACGAAGTTGCTTATGGCCTTGAACTTATTCCCCCTGCCTCAGCTTTCCAAGCTGCTGGGATTAGTCTTCCCAGCTCTTTGGCTATTTTAATCCCTCAATATTTTATTTTTCAATTATTATTGTAATCAGAATTGCTTTTGTAATTTTCCTTTTCAGATTTCTGTCTTTGATTTGAAAGTATAAGCCTTTTGTAAATATTTACATTACTGAAAAGGAAGGACTTCTCTCTGCTGTTTTCTATATTATAATGTCTTTTGTGGGGCTGGGGTTGTACTCAGTGATAGAGCACTTGCCCAGCACATGTGAGGCACTGGGTTTGATCCCCARCACCACATAAAACTAAATAAACAAAATAAAGGGATTGTATCCATCTACAACTAAAAAGTGAATAAATGCCTTTTTTGGTCCTTCATTCCCTGTATTACTGTCTTCTTTTAGACATAATTTTTTTGGTAGTGAAATATTTGAATTTATTTTCTACTTCCTTTTGTGCATAACTTGTTTTCTCTGTGATTATGATGGAGATTACATTAAACATCATAACAAGGTAATACTCTAATTTGAATTTATACCAGCTTAATTTTCATACAAAAAATTGCTGCTTACAAGACCATCCCCACCTCACTCCTTTCCCTTATCACAAAATTACAGCTTTATATACTCTGTGCCCAAAAACCTACACTAATATTTGCTTGAAGGCATTAGTATATTAAACAATGTATAAAACAAAACACGAAGTTACAAACTGTGTATAATAATAATAATAATAATAATAAAATAATAATAATAATAGCTATCAGACTAACAACTGTGATTTTCAAATATATTAGAGTTCTGGAAATAACCCAGTGTACCAGAACCGGCCACCCAAAACAAAAGGTGCTATGACTGAAGAACCAGGTGGGCAAATCCAGGATTATACAAAATGCAACTTATTAGGGACTCAGGCAGAAGCAAGAAACCCCAGGACAGGAGGAAGGGGCTTATATGCTAACCTAGCCAACCAGAATACACCTGGGCTTTCTCGGAAACTATTAACACAGCAAGTGTCAGAGACAGTCCAGGCATTAATTCCTGGTACAATATATGGTCTTATTATCTTATTTATCCTACAGGTTTTGGAATGTATGCCAGGAGCACCCGATAGGCAAGACAGTGGCTATCACCAAGATGGCTGTAGTCATGTCAAATTGGATCCTGACAATTAGCATCATAAATCATGTTATTGTCCATGATTACAATAATACTAGCTTTTATAATTACCCAGGTATTTACCTTTATTGAAATCTTTATCTCTTCCTATGGTTTCAAGTTACTGTGTTGTAATATTTCATTTCTCTTTGCTGGGCTCCATTGAACATTTCTTGCAAGCCAGGTCTAATAGTAATGACTTTTATCTTCCTAGATAAAGAAAAAAATTTAACCCTCAATTTTGAAAAACAGTTTTGCCTGCATATAAAGATACATTATGGCAGCGAGCATGTGGCAGAAGAACTCTGTTCTCTTCATAGCAGCTGGGAAGGAAAGAGTGAAAGGGGTTAGGGTACCAATATCTCCTCTAAGGGCATACCCCTAGTGACATAACTTCCTTCCACTAGGCCCCACTTCATAAAAGTTGCATCATCTCCCCAAAGTGCTACAGGACAGTGACCAAACTTTCAACACATGTCCTTTGAGAGACAATTAAGATCTAAAATGTAGCACTGGATCATTGACTATTGGCCACCATTGATTTATCTTGAGAAATCTGATAATCTTGTGGAGGATGGATCCCTTATATGTAACAAGTCACCTCTCTTGCTGCTAACAGGATTCTATTTTTTACTTTGAAAATTTGATTATAATGCATTGTAATGTGGGTCTCTGAGTTCATCTTACTTGAATTTCACTGAGCTTTTTGAATGTTTATATTCACATATTCCATCATATTTGGGATGTAGCTTAGTGATAAAATGTTCCTTGGTTCAATTCCCAGTTTTTTTTAAAAAAAAAAGAAAAGCAGTTTTAAGAAAACTCCACACACTAACAAAGCACAGAGAAACAACTCAGAAATATATCAGAAAAATTTAACAGACTGAAATAACTAAAGAAACCCCAGAACTACTGAAGTTGAAAAACACAGTAGCAAAAATGAATTACATATTAGCACCAACATCAAAACAATGAAGCACAAGAAAGTCAAAGAACTTGAAGATGGGCCTACTTGAAAACACAAGAGAATAAAAAAGAGAATGAGAAGGAGTGAAGAATACTTACAGGATCTGTGGGACATGATCAAAAAATAAATCTATATAGATGTCATTGGTATCAAAGAGAGGCTTGAGAATGACAAAGTGGTAGAATGTTTATTTTAAAGATTAACAGAAAACTTTCCAAACCCGCAGAAAGATACAAATATCAAATATCTAGTATAGGAAGGCCAAAGTTCACCAATCAGATTCAACCCAATAAGACTATCCCAAAATAACAAAAAAAAATTGATACATTAAAAACAAAAAATCGGGAATAAAAACCTACTGATAGAGAAAACCACTTAACCATAAAGGAGGACAAAGAAAGAAACAAAAAGATCTACAAAATGACTAGTAAACAGGGAGTAATATAATAGTATCAAATATTATCAATAATTATTTTGAATGAAAATCAATCCACCATTAGTCTTAGAACTTTTCCAGACTCTCTGCCCATTACCTATTTCCAAAGCCTAGCTTCTGCATTTTTAGGCACTTGTAACAGCAATACCCTAGTTTTGATTACCAAAACCTTTGTTAGTCTGTTTGAGATGCCATAGCAAAGTCTTATACACTATACGACTTAAATAACAGATAAGTATTTTCTTACAGTTCTGGAGGTTGTGAAGTCCACAATCAAGGTGCTAGTAGATTCAGTTCCTGGTGAGGGCTTTCTTCTTGGCTTGTAGATGCCCGTCTTCTTTTGTTCTCATGTGGCCTTTCCTTGGCGTGTGAGCATGCAAAGTGAGATGTCCCTTAGAAGGTCACTATCTTCACGCAGAAGATCACCATACATTTTAGATCAAGATCAATTATTTATGTCTTTATTCAACCTTGGTTACATTCTAAAAGGCCTATCTCCAAATACAGCCACACTGCAGGTTAGGGCAGGAATGTGGCGAAGCAATCACAACCACAGACTCTCTATGCATCCCTTACATACATACTAGTTTAATGCTATTCACCAGTAAACAGAAGTGGGATTACTTTCTTAGGAATAGATAAAATGGAAAGTATCATCGTGAATTTGAACAAACACAAAATTTAAATGTAGAATAAGGAAAATTCAGAAAGGATAAAGGGACAAATGAAAATGGAAACAAATGGTGAAGTTTCATATTTTTGAGCACCAAACTATAGTAAAAACAAGGACAATAATGAACACAAACAGCATCAGCTTTATTGGCTTTTAGGGTTCATATAAAATTCAAAGAAAAATGTTAATATATTATAAAATGTGGCTATAATTAAAAAATAAGGGAAACACAACAAGGATACATTTCACTCATTCATTTGTCATTTATTCAAGAGGGACTTCAAAAAATAAATGCCAAGAAATTTAATGGCTATTTTGTTTCTACCATCAATTTTATGTCTATATACAGTTTATATAGCTCATTGCTTTCATTTCCTTAAGTTGGAAAGGAAAAACACATACACAAAGGAATACATGACAAGTAGTCCTAGAGTACTATGCCTAAGAAAATTAAGCAGCCTGGATATTAACTCAGAATGACCACAAAGAATAAAATCCAAGAGTAAATCAGTAGTGGTGGTCACACAGTAATTCAATAAATAGTGTTCACTCTTTTCAAAGATACAAAGTAGAAAATTACCCTAATACCAAAGTACATCACAGACTCATTTTCTTACTGTGTAGGACATAAACTAGCCACCAACTACATGTACAAAAACATGTATAAAATACTCATAAAGAAATACTTACAGAAAACATAGCTTAACATATCCAATGAGAAAGTTATTACTACTGGTGATCATGTGAAACTTTGAAAAGTACCCAAGGTCTGAGAAACATGTCAATTTAAAATCTAATGAATAATGGTGACATAAAGTTATCTAAACATAATGGTTAAATTTTCTTCTAAAAAAATCTAAAAACCAGTGACTCATGATCTCATTTGATTGCATAACTTTGTCAATTGTCAAACAGACAATTTGGGTCATGTAAGATTACTAAAATAGGGCTGGAATTCTACTTATAGCTCAGTGGTAGTGTACTTGCCCAGCATGTGTGAGGCACTGGGTTTGAACCTCAGTACTAAATAAAAAGTAAGTAAATAAAATAAAGGTATTGTGTCTCTTTACAACTAAAGATATTTTTTAAGAAAGACACTAAAAAAAGAAAGGTATACTATTTAACTCATTTGTTTATTTGTTGGAGCTGGAATTTGAATCCAGGGCCTCAGCATGCTAAGTATGAGCTCTACCTCTGATCTACTCCCCTAGCCCCAAAGAGAGTCTACTGATTATTGAACTCCGGTAATTCTGAGAGGAAATAAAAAGAAAGGATCTACACAAAAACAATTGAAACCATGGTAATATATACTTGTAAACCTTAATTTAAGTTCAGTGATCAGATTATAGACACTCCAATAGTTAAGGGTGCTAAACAAGTTTAAAAGACTAGTTTAGACCTAGGCATGGTGGCACACACCTGTAATCTCAGCGACTCGAGAGACTGAGGCAGGAGGATGGAGAGTTCAAAGCCAGCCTCCACAAAAGCAAGGTGCTAAGCAACTCAGTTGAGACCATGTCTCCAAATAAAATACAAAATAGGGCTGGGGATATGGTCAAATGCCTAAGTTCAATTCCCAGTACTCACCCCCCCAAAAAAGAAAAAAAGGCTGGTTTAGTAATTTTCATCAAATATATCAAGATGTTCCTTTCACTTTAATCCTGGCTGGTACCACCTAGAGATAAAAGGCTCATTAATAGAATTGTTTTATGATAGATATTTAAAGGAATCTGTTGTGTCAAAACAAAATAGAAATTTAAAAATAAATCAAACAACTGATGAAAATGGAGAGGTGGTTATACATCAATAAATAAAAAGCAATAGAAACCAAAAGAAAATTTAACAAGGCAGGGTCATAAGACTTTAAAACTATGTTTTATTTAACTGGGAGCTCTAACTGTGTAGATGAAGAAAAATATATCAGATAGAGAAGCAAAGAATTATAATACAAAAAGGATATTTTATTAATATTACAAATGATAAAATTGACAAAACAATGAAAACATAAACACCAAAAGCTATTAAGAGAAAATATATGGACAAGAAACTCACAAAATTAACTGAAAAAACTAATTATTAGATGAACATGTATTCCACAAATTTCAGAAATGGATGAAGAGACCATCATGAGTCAATAGAGAATGAGAATGTTAATATAAAAACAGAAATTTTTGGCAGTATTTAACAAAATTATAAAGGTATACATGTCACCAATGATTGAAAAATTCCTTTTTGAAACACAGAATGACCATGAAGTCTGGGAACAGACTGTAAAAGGAKAGGGATATGAATCATCCTTGATTATATTTTATATCCTCAAATTTTTTTCCAGTGAAAATCACAAGGAAAAGGCCCTCACACACTCATTTCATTCAAATAAATACTCAATTCATTAAAAAATAGTAGAAATTTTTCAAGTAATATTCTCACCCACACTAAAGGCATTCCTGCATTCCTTACATTCATAGGGTTTCTCAGCACCATGAATTTTCTGATGTTTTGTAAAAGATGAACTATGTCTAAAGGCCTTCCCACATGCCTTGCATTCATAAGGTTTCTCTCCAGTATGAATTCTCTGATGTTCAGTAAGGGCTGAACTATGTCTAAAGGCCTTCCCACAGATCTTACATTCATAAGGTTTCTGACCACTGTGAATTCGCTCATGTCGGGTAAGTTCACTGCCTACTCCAAAAGCTTTCTCACATTCTTTACATTTATAGGGTTTCTCACCAGTATGGATTCTCTGATGCCTAGTCAGGGATGAACTATTTCTGAAGACCTTTCCACATGACTTACATTCATAGGGTTTCTTACCTGTATGAATTCTCTGATGTCGAGCAAGTTCTCTACAGACTCCAAAAGCCTTCCCACATTCCTTGCATGCATAAGGTTTCTCACCAGTGTGAATTCTCTGATGTTCAACGAGTTGTGAACTAATTCTAAAAACCATCTCACAGTGGATACATTTGTATAGTTTCTCACCAGTATGAATTCTCTGATGTTCAGTAAGCTGTGAATGAAATCTAAAGTCCTTGCCACATTCCATACATTTGTAAGGTTTCTCATCAGTATGAATTTTCTGATGTCGAGTAAGTTGTGCATGCACCCTAAAGGATTTCCCACAGAATGTACATTCATAGGGCTTCTCACCATCATGAATTCTTTGAATGGGAGTAATTTCTCCAACACTTCTAAAGATCCTCCCATATTCCTTACACTTATAGAACTTCCCAATGCTATAAATTTTTTGGTAAAGACTAAGATCTTCATAGAAACTAAGTTTATTCCCATGTTCCATATATTTACAAGGCTTCACTCCAGTATGAATATTCAATTGAAGTATATGTGAATTATCCATCCCAGAGTTTTTCCAGCATCCATGATATTCATAGGTTTTCTCATCAGTATTATTCTCTGATAGTGATCAAAGTTTGAGTCACAACTGAACACTTTCCCACATTCCTTATATTCATAGGGCTTTGCACCACCATGCATTCTCTGAGGTAATGTAAGATATTTATAATTCTTATATTTGGGCTGTTTGTCAGAGATGATTTTCATCTTACTGAAACATCTCCATCCAGGTCCTTTTACTTCAATCTTCTTTTTGCTTTGCCAGTCATTTCTGAAAATGGAGCTTTTGAAGTCAATGAGATTGCTATTTTCTGTTACTTCCAACTGAGAACCACTGTTTTCCAAAACATCCTTTCTTACAGATAAAATCTCTGTCTCACACCTAGACTCCAAATCTGAAAAAAAAGGGAAAAAACAAATTTTCCCCCCTGTCACAATAATAGAACTCATAGAAAACTGAAGAAACAAACAATATAATTCACAGTACAAATGAATATTTAGCTGGGCTTGGTGGTAGATGCCTGTAATCCTAGTGATTAAGGAGCTGAAGCAGAAGGATCACAGTTCAAAGCCAGCCTTAGCAACTTTGCAAGGTCCTAAGCAACTTAATAAGATCCTGTTTCAAAATAAAAAATGAAAGAGGCTGAGGATGTATCTCAGTGGTAAAGCACACTTGGATTCAATTCTTGGTACCAAAAAAAACTAACAAAATAAATAAGTAAATAGTTAAAGTACTGTTATAAAATCTGCAGAAAGAGAATTCAGACAGTGCTAACAGTGTAATATAACATTGTGAGATTTTTGATAAGGAAACATATTAAGTTAGTGGATCTGAAATGTAGATGTTGATCATCTTTGTAAGCTTGTTGTAAGTACTGATGTTGAGGAACCAATCTAGATAAAGTGAATCAAAATATATATATGTAGAACCCATAATTACCATCTTATAGAGCTACTGTTTATGCACATAAAAATTTGACAATATACACATATCAATAATTTTATCATTAACAATTTACCATGGATAAAAAGGTGCTACTTATAAGACCTCATTTTACTCAACTTCCTTCCTTTCTTTTAATCTCTTTTCACCTCCTAGATAAAAACACATTTCTTACCATTTACACGAACTCAAAGGTCATTTCATCTCTCACAAATAATCTCTTTGTATTCCAGTTCCTTTTCATCACCTCAGGTCTAAAAGTTAACTACCTTAAGATAGCTGAACCTAAAGTAAGTTCATTTTTATATCTTCATTCAAATATCTGGGTTCATTGCCTTCATATTTTTCTTTTTCTATTTTTAAAAATCTTTTTAAAAAAATATTTATTTTTAAGTTATAGTTGGACACAATACCTTTATTTATCTTTTTATGTGGTGCTGAGGATTGAACCCAGGCCCTCACACATGCTAGGCGAGCCCTCAACCACTGAGCCACAACCCCAGCCCCCTTTAATTTTTTAAAAATATTTATTTTTGAGTCACGTCACCCCAATTGGAGTAGGGTCAGAGCAGAGCCGCCGCACGTGCCCGGAACAGGCCCAGCGAATCGCCAGCGTGGTAGTCACATCACCCCAATCGGAGTAGGGGCAGAGCAGACGCGCCTCCCGAACCCAGAACAGGCCCACAACCCGCTGGTGTGGTAGGCACATCACCCCAATTGGAGTAAGGGCAGGGCAGAGCGGCCGCCCACGCCTGCAAGGTAGGCAGACCTGCGACTGACCAGCAGGACAGGCCCAGAGGCCCGTCAGGGTGGTAGACAGATCAACCCAATTGGAGGAGGAGCACAGCTGCCGTCCGCCGCTGCAAGGGAGACTTTTCAACTATACAAGAGCAATATAAATATATAGGGGGGAAATTCAATAACACAACAGTTTCACCAAGCAGAAAGAAACGTGAGCAGTATGAAAAGACAAGGAAAGAAAGGACCACAAGCAATGCAGGTCAACTCAAATTTAGAAGAGGTAATAGCTGCAGCAGATGGAATGTCAGATAAAGAATTCAGGATATACATGCTTCAGATGATCTG